AGGAATGCATGCCACAAATTTACTTCTTTAGTAAAGCACCGATTTCAACAAAGAACTGTTTTTCCCTACTAATTAACAATTACTTATGAAATGCGGCAGAAGTTGCAGGTATGTCTTTGTGGGTGTGGAATTAAAGAGAAAATGTTTTGCAGAATCAGTCACAGCTAGCTAACCAGTCATCACACAAGAGTTAACATCTTCCTTAAGAATCCGATTTTTATCAACACTTACAACTACTTCACTGCTCCTTAGGTACTAACATTGCCTGCTCCCCGGTATTAGGCAGAACATTTATGCAGCTTCACCATACATTATTTTGGCATTAATAAATGTCTTGTGTATGTATACAGACATATACACATATAGATAGGCTTTTACATTTGCTCAATACTCTATTAAAACTTTGTCGTTTTTTAAAAAAACACAACACAACCAGAAGTTAAAAGTTCTCACACCCGCTCTGTGAGCAGGAAAAGCTGTACCAGTAGGTTCAGAGCAGGCAAAGGCAAGAAAGCCTTCAGTGAGCAAGCTTCCTCAAGGTTTTGCTCTCAAAAGCTTCAGTGTGCTGGTTTCAATAAAGGAGGCAAAAGGAAAATTTATTTTATCTAAGTAGAAAGAGGACAAAAACCTGGTCTTAAGTACAACCTATTCTTTTCGTTAGAGTTAGATCCTGAGCATTTTAGACCCGGTTCTTAGACGTCTTCAGCAGGTATTTGACACTAGGCATGCTGAGTAGTCTACTACATAAATGCTAACACGCACGCTGTCAATCTAACTAAAGCTGCAGGTAGTCTTGAACACGCCTTTTCATTACTCTGTTCTCTCCACCGCTTACAAAGTCTGAGCAGCAAGCTAACGTGCCGTAGAACAAGGAGGGCCTGTGAATCTCACTCGCGCTGCATATCGCAAGTGTGCCCTTTAATTTCTGGGCAGTGAGTCCTTGTTAGAGATCTGGAATGTTCTCAATATCTTTAGCTCAGACTAAATAAGGGAGCAATCAAATGCTTGTTTTTAGCAACAGCGAAAATAACTCAAGACACCACAAAGTCACTGAGCAGGGTGAGGGAGGAACGGCAAAATACAGCCATGTGGCACTGGAGAGATATCCGAGGCTGCAGGTGTGTGTTTATGATATAGCTGAGGCAAGCTAACTTCAGATCGTTGCCAAGAAGGGAGCTCCTTCTCTCCTCCATCTGCTCCCCCCACACCAGCGTTCCTCTGACTACCCAGAGGGCTGACGGCAAGGACATCAACCTTCAAAACACTAATCTAAACTCTGATCCCTTCACCCCCTGAACTAGTTCACTGCCAGGGCAAATACGCACCCAAGGACCACACAAGATTAGCCACAGGACCACCTCCTTCAGGGGCAGCCAAGCTACGCCTTGGCTGGAAAAGATAAAAGCTGTAGTGCTGGTTAACAAGTTGTGCAAACCGCAGGGTAAACGAATCAGAAATCCAGAGCAGCGTGTGACGGGCAGCTCTGACATGGAGTGTGCAGGCTCCTGGGAACGAACACCGGATGGAAAAAGCCTGCATTTTTGAGATAAAACACTGCCTTAACAAGAGATGGAATACAGACAAGACTCCACGTACATTTTGTGAATTGATTCAATTGCCTAAAAATATACACAGTTAGAACCGTGTTCTCCTCTGACTGTCAGTAACCCAGCACCAAGCACAGGCGACCTTCTGAGGTGAGACAGTACAAAGCTACAGAATGCCAAGCACTCTGAAAAAGCCAGGCTTTTTTGATTTCTAACATCAAATTCAACATTAGCAAACAGCACTGACTTTAAATCATACTGTAGCTATAACAACTATTTTGAAAACAGGGAAATGTAACACAGGTGTTTACAACACAGGAGTGTTGTAAAAATCCTGATTTTAATGCTGTGAAGCACAAAAATCCTGCAGTGGTAAGTATCAGGGGAAAGCCCATTAATAATAACAAGAAACCTTTCTGTCTTTGGACTATTCTGCAAGTTTTCCAGTGCCTTAGATAAGGAAAATAAAGTAATATGCTAAAAGGTTGCTTGCACATACGTTCCATGATCATAAGAAATCCATGAAAAAGACAAATTATCACATAACCATATCATAGAGCAAACACACCAGGTCCTTAAAGATCTATATTGTTTCAAATGTGCGAGTTGTAGTTTTTTTAATTACATTTCATTCACAAAAGGTTGAACAGAATTTATTCAGAATTCCCCAAAAGCTTTTCAACTTTATGGGCTGAAGCATCAAAATCATACAAAATTCCAGTAACATTCCAGTTTTCATCAAGTATATCATAACATATTTTATACATTGCAATTATGTTTTCCTAAGTTTCCTAAGTGCAAACAATTTCTTTTCTGCAATTGGAAGACTTGCAAATTGCTTAGCTTATTTCTGGTAAGTGTTTACAAGGACAAAGAAAAGTACAAATAACAGTGTTTGATTACCGTTTGTGAGTTTTGAGAGTTGCCTTGGAATCCTTTAGGTTTCTTCCTCTGTGATTCTTAAAAAAAAAAAACAACACACCCTTAATTCAATCCTGTTTATGTTTAATAATATTTAGAAAAAACAGATCTAAAGGGTATGACACTGATGTGTGCACACATACAAACAAGTAATTTAGATACACCTCATGGGAATGTAAATCATCCTTGATCAAACTCTGGTATGAACAACAAACCGAAGTATTGTAATTACAGCTGGCTTTACTGGGATTAACCACCCTCCAGACTCCATTAAAATATGTCTGATAAACAGACACTGGAATTCTGGTACAAAACAGGTGGGGTTTTTTTTTGAAGTGGTAGCACAGGCCCAAAGAAACTAAACACACAAGTTTTTTACCTTTTGGAAGTTATCTTGTACGTGGAAAGGCTAAGGTAAATACTAATGTCGATCCCTAATTTTATAAAAAAGCTTGTAATATTCTCATTAATCATAAAAGTGGGTTGCTTTTACGCTCTAAAATAGATTATAAAACACAGGTCCTCAACAGAAGGCAGTCAGTTAGATAAATCCTGTAAATGTGGAAAGAAACAATCTGACAGCAATCCATCACCGCTTTCCTTTACTCGGGCACTATCAATTTATTTCACATTCCTGATATGAAAGCTTTTTTAGGAAGAACACAGCTACCTTTTGTATACTTAACCTCTGAAAGGCTAAACACTTCCAGAAACTGTGGAGTTCCTGCACTCTCCCATTATTAACAAACACCACAACCAGCCTGAAGTGCTGGATGCCTAAGTTTTGAATGTTAAATATCAAAACTCCATCTAATTGCTCATATTTTAGTAATCAGCTTCCTACCGAGAGAGCAGAAGAGTAAAGAAATGCAGGTAGTCTTTTCTCATTAATATCAAACAACTGCATCTGCCTTTGCTCCTCACTAGTTTTTACCTCCTGTTTTTGTGTTGTAGTAGTACGTATAGCCTTCGGGAGAAAACCCTTGCACCCACTCCTTCGTTCCAGTTTTTGATGGCACCGAGGTGTCTTCAGACCCCTTTTTTTTCTTTTCTTTCTTTTCCTTCTTTTCCTTCTTCTCTTTCTTTTCTTTCTTTCCTTTAGTTTCCGCTGTGTTACTCTGTGTTTTACTCTGTGTCGAACTGGGACCTACATCATCTTAAAGAAAATAATACTTCCTTTTAAAAAAAGAGTAATAATCTGAGCTTAACTATTAGTCACTCCTGAGCAACAGAAAACAGAAAGTTTTGTTCTTACGAGTATTTTCACTCATTAGTATAACAGTCATAGAAGGTAAACTTAAAAGATTATTTTCTAAGCATCTTGCATAGTGGCAATACTATTGTGTCAAAACAAAGTCCAAATATTGAAAGATGAGTAATATAAACTGAAAAACCATAAGGACCAATGAGCTCTAACTAAACAACAACAAAAAAGAACCTTATGAAAAAGATAGCTTCTACAGCAGCTTGCAACTACAAACTTTTTTAAAAGGACAACATGTCTTCACACGGACAGAACAAAGGTATCCGAAGAACTGCAAGCTGAGTAGGAGATTCTCATCTCTACCATTTGGTAACAGTGGGAACCCAACCTCTCCTACTCAACAGGAACTTTTGTCTCCAACTGGCACAAGTGAAACATAAAATGAACTAAGGGAAGCTGCACTGCCCATTCAAAGCACCAACTACAGCCTATGTTTTTTTATCATATTGTTTAATTATTCTACTCCAAATAGGATTGTTAAATGGACCAGAGAACACGGTAGCTAAAAACATTCTGTACTACAACTTCTACTACTGGCAATTTGCAGACTTTTTTTTTTTTTTCAATGACCAAACACAGTTCTGGAAGCCTAAAACCTAATTTAAGAAAAAACACTCTTATCCAATATTCTGTCAATTCTGTCTTTCATCCTTTGGCAGCTATATGAACTACCTGGCTTAATTCCCAGCCTTTTCAAATCCTCTTGATATGCTTTCATTGCAGCCTCCTCCATTGCTGCAAATTCTTTTGACATGTTTTCTTCTTCTTTTGCTTTTTCCAAGCTTTTCTTTTTAATCTAAAACAAAACAAAAACCCCAAGAGAATAAATTAAACAAGTCTGATAATGAAAGAGATTAAAAGTATTAGTGCAAATAGATATTTGAGTTACCTCACTAATTCTTTTTGCCACATTTTCTTTGTGATTCTTTCCTCTTTCATGAAACTCAATGCTCTTAAAAGCAAGGAAAAAAACGAGAATAATGATGCATATTATAAATTTTAATTTCCTTAATTTTAGTTAGTTAAAGTTTAGATAGACTAAACTTAGTTGAACAAGTCTAAATGTAACCTGTTCTGAAAACAGTCACAGTAAACACTATAGCTATTAAATGGCTATAGGAAATTGGGAACATTGAGAAACACTCAGCATAGAAATTATGAAAAATCAGTAACACTCCAAAATGGTATCATAAAATTTCATAGCCTGTATTTAATTTAAAAATTTTCAAATACTACTGTTCAGCACACATGCAAGACGCAAGTACCATGTAGTCTGGGTTCCCTCTCTGTGCTATCCTTCCAAGTATCACCCCTTCATTTTTTTTTTTTAACCCTCTCTGTTATCATGCAAACTTTCAAAAACCATATGGCTTATTCAGAGTTCCAAATATTATCTATGGTCCTTAATTAGATTATGCTACGCTCCACAAACATACCATGAATTCAAACTAGTCTGCAGGCCCACAAATCAGGGAGAGAGAGGAACAGGCAAGGTGGGAGAGTTGGGTAGTGACAACACCAGACCAGTCTGCAAGCCAAAAAGCTGCCAGAAAGACTGAAGCCAGGAGGAACTGGAAGGAGTTCAGAAGCTCTACAGGTACAACAGTGGAAATCCTCTTTGTGGTTCTCACAAAAAACATCTGAGCTCATTTAGGTGTTCAGATGTTAGGCACCCAACCCTGACCTAGTAACCCCAGAATTTCTTTGCGTAAACCCATGCGCAGAGGACGCACATCCAGGGGACGATTCATCTCATTTAAAGAGAGACTTTATAAGTTACCCCAATCTCCCCCCTTTAACATGTATTTTTCTTCACCAACTACAAGAAGAAGCCTAAATCAATTAGCTCACACCGGTCATTCGGAACCGCGGGTATCTAACTGTAAGGCAGACGAAGCTCAGCTCCAGCAGTACCCCTGGCATCGAGTCAGCAATGCAAAACTTCTAAGTGAGAACCAATGGGTCTAGCAGTCTGCAAAAGGCATGTGCAAGTCAGAAACACCCTTCTGTAACCCAGTGACGTTTCTGCGGGCTGTGTCACACGCAAGAAACCTGCTTTACAAGCTTAGAGCGCCGGCTGTACCAGGCCTACCATACATAAACACTACATGTGCCAGGTTTTGCTTTCGAATTGCATACGAAAGCCAGGAACAGGCGCGGACACAGTTTTGAGACAGATCAAATGTTAAGTTACAGAACCTGAAGAAAAAGCAGGGTCAGGTATTTCAGTTCTTATCTGTACTGACAAGCAGAACAACATACACCATCTTGTGTGCACTATCTGGCTCTCACGTAATAGATTTTAAATATCGCAGGTATTCCAAAGGCATTTTGAAACAACAGATTTCATGCATGAAGAGATTAGTATCAAAAGTTATGTTAAAAGCCTGTAATTCAAAGTCCTAGTATTTCAGAATCATCGACATAGTATGGTAGTCCATCATACAGGTCTGTTGTCTGCTATCCAGCACTTGCAGTAATCGCAGAATTTTTTTGGCTGTGATTTCCAGTAATCAGCCCTGGGGAGAGAGAAAACAAAAAAAGATGCATAATCTGAATCAAAGCCATAGGTTTTTATATATATATATATCTTCAGAAACTAAATTTAGTCTTCTTTGGGTGATTGAGTGCTAAGAGTTTGTTTTTCTTTTTTTTTTAAAAAAAAACAAAGTACAGGGAGCAAGCAGGAGTAGCTATATCGACTCCTGTGTCCCTTAAAGCTCAGTTCAGTGTTGCGACTGTGCCCACCTGACCCCCGAAGACTGCAAAATTTTTACAACAGAAGGGATGCTCTAAGAACTGGAAATACAAACCAATACAAGCCAGAGATAAACAAGCAGCTCTGGATACCCTGTTTAAACACAAAACTGTCAGAAATGGGCAACTTGCACTATTTTTCATAAAAACACATACAAGTTTCTAAGTGTAAAACGTTGATTTGATGTCTAAGTCTACTTTGGATGCTGTACACAGTGAGCTTAGGAACACAAAGGCGCAGTTCTGGACAACGTGAGCTACTGCGGGGAATCTTAGCATAGATCCTGACCTGTGGGGTCACAGACACGGCAGTAAATTGTTTGGATGTTTCAGTGTAAAAACGTGAGTACTTCTGGACCATGCAATTTAGGTCAGTTGCACATGGGTGAGGAAACTTGGGGAAAACTCTTCAGAGCTCAAAAGTTAGTACACAAAAGTATTCAACAACAAAAGACACAACCCCTCCAATGGCTGTTTCTACATCAAAAAATGCTTTCTAATGCCAGATGAGGCTTGTGCAGAAATAATTCCATTTCTCATTGGCTTGCAGCAACAGATGCGATGCTTAGGTTCAACAGAACACATTCCAGCAACAGATTTCTATGTTTTTAAGTTAAAATGAAAAAGAATGAGCAGCAAAACCAAAAACAAGTCAAGATCAAGTCAAGAAAAGATCAGTCCAAAAAATGAATCTTTGCCTCCCATCTGAAGGTCAATGTACAGAGTTCAAGTAAAATACTTCCTGACATTTTTATTCAATAAAAACAAAACCTCTTCCATGCACAACGACAGCACCCTCAAACCTTATGATACGTGCAAGCAGATCTTTCACAACATAAACAGATCTGATCAAGTCTTAAAAATTTAAGCAGGTATCAAAATACGCTCTCCCACCAATGCTTAATGTAAATATACAATGTCTAAGGGGCTAAAATTACTTAAAAGTGTAAGTACAAAGGATATCCTCCGCAAAAATATATCAACTTATAAGCAATGCGCAGCTTTTCAAGCAATTTTCTGGAAAGCTAGAAAGAAGCAGCTGGGCTTCCCCTCGATCTAAACAGAAATCCGCTCATCCCTAAATGATGTACTTTAAAACTGGGTGATTACTTAAGTCACACATTTAATTAAAAGGCTTTTGAGATTTATATATCAAAATGTACTAGGGCCAAAGTCTGCGAAATCAAACACTCTGGCTAGAAAACCAGCCAAGTGGGAGGGAAATATTCAGAGCTCAGAAATACCTCACGGCCCTTTTTCCTCTGAGCTATGGCTCCCAAATTGTCTCCAAATCCTTCAACATCATCCAAGATAAATTTCCAGCTAAAAGCTAGGTTAACCTTCTTAAGGCAATGGACGAATTCTGACAGAAAACATATAAATTGTAAAAGAGCCTCGCTGCACGTTTAGAGGTGCAAGAACATCTGCGTATTTCCAAGTTTAACCTAATGGGGCTGGCTCTTTCTCTTCAACAGAATTGAGTGTAAGTGCTAAAATTAAGATTGTACAGCTGCACCCACGAGAAGTCAAGGCCTGAGTGTGTGATGAGCTGTATTTTCACAGCTATATTTTCCACCTATTTCTTTCCTAAACACTACTGGACATCACATCTGTAGCAAACCACTGTAGCTACGCAGACAGTAATCATGCTGGAGAACCTGAGGGCACACCTGGGGCTTAAGTACAAACCCAGGTCTTGAGGACAGAAGCCTTTTGTCTTCATCCCCTATTGGTTTTGATAAAGATTGGAGCTGGCTCTCTGTTGTTATGTATAAAAGAAATGTAAATGCTACTCCATACAGAAGACCCGATATCCTGGGAACCTTAAATACTGCATTTCATGATTAACTGAGTTAGCTGTGTAAATTACGGTCCCAATTCCGCAACCTATGAGCACGAGGAGTGTTACACGCTGAGTAATTCTCTCAAAGATTTTCCACTTGAGTTCATACTGCTCAAAAAAAGAGCCAGTTTAGCTAAAATATCCACCGAATATCATCTGCCACTGCAACAGCGATGGAGCCTCCAAAGCACCACCAGTGCTGTGATGAGAGCAAACCAGAGGAGCGTTTGGAAAGAAGCAGCAACTGAAGCGAGACCCTACTTCAGTGAGAATCTACAAGTGCTTCACAGGCTCTGGTCACAAGCCTGAAAGTTAATCCAGATAGATGACAATGTTTAGGTATGCGATTATTTTACTAATCTGACAAACCAACGCTTGAGAGTAGATGTTGTTAAAGTGGTACAGAGGTCTTGAGTAAATGTGTACAAATCAAGGCAAACATCGTTATTTCAAAAAGTCATTGCACAGGTACAGCTTTTAAGACTCCTTATCCTCTGCCTGCACTTGCATCAGTAAAGTCAAGGCTGATTCTTGTTTTCAGCTCTACAGCCGGGCCAACCTGCTAAGGACCAGACAGGCGACAGGGTAGTCACCACCACCGCAACCATCTTTCTTCCCTTCACCAAAACGAAGAGACAGTCCAAAGCGCACGAAGCCCGGCTCGTCCAGGTTTGCAGGGTCGAGACTTCAGGGCGGCACACGTCTCCCCAGGCATGGCTATCCAGACAGGAGCTTGGTGACACCGACCTCGAGGGGTCAGCAAGTTTTGCTGTGAAGCTCTATCTCCTGGGAAGGGTTCCGGCAAAGTCCGCTCGGAGCCGGATTTCCCAGAGCTAGCTGAGCAAGCAGCTTGGCAGCCTGCTACTGGGCACACAGGGAACAGAGCAGCGCTGATACAGATGGGTACTGGGCAACTTCTGGACACACTGCCGTAAACTTTCAGCCAGAGTTGGAAATCCTGTACGAACTTGCAAGAAATGCGCGTCTCCTAAAGAACAGTGATTTTCTTTCAACTTTTATTGGTCAAACCACCCAGGGGCAGAATGTGCCACACAGTTCAGAGGGCTAAAAGGGAAGGAGTGAGAAGGAGGGAGTGAACATCAAACAGTTTTCTTGAAGCTTTAATGAAATGACAAACTCTTTGCTGCAAGCAGCTATAAAGTGCAAACAGTGTCAATGTTACAACCATTTTCAGATTTCTGAAATTTATTTAAAACTTCAGAGGGAGTGAGAAGATGGGGAAGAACAAGTAGAAACTCTGTATTAACATCACTCGCCACATCCACCATTTCAAAAGATATGAAAACGCTGAAACTCCAAGAGAAAACCCCTGAACTCAGTATTTTTACTTTGCATAATTCATTTCTTGAGCCATGAGAATCACGCAGCCGAGGCTGCGATAACCGGTTCGCACGCTCGTGCTGCACATGAGCCACGCGTTTGGGAGCACACGGAAGTGGACAGGTTCTGTCGCCAGTGTTCAGAAAGCAACCCACAGAGCGGCTCCAGCAGTACCAGGGCCCAGGGCCTCGCGCTGACAACCTGTGAACTGCTTCTCCTCCCAACTTACAGCATTACTAATGTTTCAACAGGTGGTGCAATCAGCTTTCCTGATGTAGGGAAGCTTAAGAAACCCTCATAAAGAAGCTATCTTCGGCTGAGACAGCTTTGCCAAACCTGACTTTGAGACGGGGCTGGAGGTTTTTGTTCCAATCGCATACCGGCCAAAATTAAAAGGGGGAGGGGGGATAGCAAAGAAAAAAAAAAAAAAAGGAAAGAAACAACTGTTTCAGGTGGTTGGAACACAACAACAGAATTTAGCCATGCAAACACAATCTGGAAGCATTTGCTTTGAGTAACTCTGTTCTAAAACACCAGACTTGAAAATCAGCAGGGATGCGGGTGG